TCCCTTAACAAAGCATCATTCATTACACCTCTACCTAAATAAACATTTCGTTTTAAATGCAATATGATTTTTCTTTTTACCCCTTTTCTGCATAACAAAGGAAAAACAAAACTCAAAGCTGCTCACTGGCCTGGGAAAGGCCTCTGTTTGCCAGCCTTTGGCCAATGAAGAGGATTCAGAGAAGAGAAACAACCATCAATCAGGAAAGGAGGGGCGACAGAGGAAGGAAGTTACGCAGACGCTTCAATGGTGCATTCTCTCGCCAGGTGACCGGTCTTGCCGCAGTTGTAGCAGTTCACCTCAGTCGCCTTGCTGCACTGCACTGCCACGTGACCGATCTCTCCACACCTGCAAACCAACACGCATTTTAGTTTCCCGCTGAACTCAAAGCCTTCAGTTCTGTACTTCACGGTCTTAAAAAGTAGTAGTCATTTACCCCAAAATATAAACTGTATCATTTACTCTCATTCATGTCGCCATGCCATTAAAAACTTGTAAGCTATTTTTTCTGTTGAACACAAAAAAGTTTTTAAAGAAGCACGAGTCTATAATGACAACATCTGTAGCACACACTCACATGGTGCATTGTGTTCGGATACTACGCACAAAACAACCTTATGCGCCATGACATTATTAAACATTTTTTATTTTGGGGTGAACGATTTCTTTACACGTCAAGCTCTGATGGGACTTACCGGTAACATTTCACCTTGTCACATAGCTTCTGGATGTGTCCGAACCCCCCACAGGAGTAGCACTTCTGCTCGTTGCCGTGGTCACAGTCGCGTGCCACATGACCGGCTTTGCCGCAGTTATAGCAACACTGCTCTCTCTCCTTCTTGGGTTCTTTGCAGTCTCTGGAAATATGGCCACTCCTGTGGCAATTGTAGCATGCTGTATTTGAAGCAGGAGAAAGCTTTAATAAACAATGTAGATTACCAACAATGCAACAGATCTTAAAGTTCTTACTAATCAAAGTGCAGTGAGGCAGAGCGTCTTACCATCCTCAGTCTGTTCGCAATCTCTCGCAATGTGGCCCTGCTCTCCACACCTGTAACAGAACAGATCTACAGAGAAAGATCTTAGTTAGACTGCATCTGTCTCGAAGCAGCGCTGTTTGAATAACTGGAGAAGCCCTACCCTTTCCTCGTCCCCGGCCCCGGCCACGACCTCGACCAGCATTAGGACAGTTTTTGATCCAGTGTCCAGAGCGGCCACATCCAAAGCACTCGCTGGCACTCATGTCCATTATCTGTGGAGACAGAGCCACAAACTCTGGTTTCATTCATGCTAACCACAGAGTGCTCATTGTTCAAAACAGTGTAAGCTGCTCATGGGGTAAAGACAAGCATTACCAAATATCTTTACATGGGGAGTCTAAGTTTAGGTTTATTTTCATTGTGACATTTTTATTGCAATTTTAAAAGGGTTCCTATATTTGCAATCTCTGTATTCATATATCATGCAGTCTAAGCTTTCTTTCATTCCACAAAAATAAAAAATATTGGGTCAATCACTGGAATTGAACTTTGTAGTGTGAGCTTGCTAGCACATTTATGACACCCAGTAATAACTTGATCATTTTAATGGAAACAATCCAAAAGACATAAAATCAAAAAACTAAAGCATCTACTGTAAATGGCAATGCTGATGGCACGTGTCCTACCACCAACACTACTGCTGAAGACCTTAAAATCTAACACAATTAACAGGGTTTTCACAGTAAAAAAAAAAAAAAAAAAAAAAAAAAAACTTTAAACACTCATCACTGTATTTAAAAAGAGGTTTCATGAAGGGCAAAACACCTACATAACGGTTTAACAACTGTACAAATCATCAGATCACGTATCAGCCTATGGAAACACACTACATGAACGAAATTGCTTTCATCAGGAATAAATTAGCGCAGTATGCATATGAAATATGCATGATCAATGCATGCGTTTAGAGATGTATAGCTGTTAAATGATACATGACTGAAGGAAAGTCACATGGTAATGCTCCACAGCCTTAGAACCTCAACACTGGGCCTCATCATGCATTTTCACACAAAGATTTCACACAACACTCAACGCTATCGCTATTCTGTCGCGATGTGTGTATTCATGAGCTGCTGCGGGTTTTATTTTTGGAAACGCACATGTGCACGTGCACTTATATGAGACTTTCCCGCGCAGCCACGAGCTGTAGCAGGCCTCAGCTAGCTCAACGCGCCTGATTAAACACACTCAACGCACACACGAACCCTGCGGTTAACATAATCACAGCTGACATTAAATGTGTAACGGATCATTGAGTTAATATGGACAAAATCAGTTGGAAATGTGGGTTTATCGCTGATAATATGTGTACTCACCTATAGCGGAACACTAGCCTGTTAGCTGCGACTCACTGCTGTTTACTCCTCCCTTCAGCACTGCGCATGAATCCGCTGAGCGACAGATACAGTAGCCAATAAGAGATCACGATTCAGAGCGGGATGACCAATGAGGATCGAGTGCCTGGAGACGCCCCTCCATTCTGACCAATCGCTGATCGAAAAGAGACACTGTCCTGCCCACAGCAGCAACACTGCCGTGATGTTCAGAACGGAACATTACAGTTCTGTTTTCTGTCGCTGTCGAGCTCTGTAGTCTATTATAATGTACACAGAGAACTACTGAAATAAATAACACGTGTAGCAGGCGGTGTGCTATTACAAAAATAGCATGTAGTACGTTTATACACATCCTACAACGCAGTGTTGGGGGTAACGCATTACAAGTAACGCACGTAATCAGATTACTTTTTTCAAGTAACTAGTAAAGTAACGCATTACTTTTTAATTTACAAGAAAATATCTGAATTACTTTTTCAAATAAGTAACACCAGTTATACTTTGCTTCCCATTTATTGATTGAAAGCTCTCCTGTCCCCTTGTTGAGAGAAATCGGGAGTAAGATGTTACTGTAGTTCTAGAATAAATGTGAACATGCATTAATTCATCTCACCCACAAAAAAAAAATCAGATTTACTTTTCCTCAAAATTAATAAAAACAGTTAAAAGCAACTCAGAATATGACTCAAAGCTGCAATAATTAAATATGCTAAATAATACAAATATCCTTTATGTATTTGGGGAAGTTGTGGCCTAATGGTTAGAGAGTCGGACTCGTAACCCAAAGGTTGCGGGTTCGAGTCTCGTACCGGCAGGGATTGTAGGTGGGGGGGAGTGAATGTACAGCGCTCTCTTCCACCTTCAATACCACGACTGAGGTGCCCTTGAGCAAGGCACCGAAACCCGGACTGCTCTCCGGGCACCACAGCATAAATGGCTGCCCACTGCTCCGGGTGTGTGTTCACGGTGTGTGTGTGTTCACTGCTGTGTGTGTGCACTTTGGATGGGATAAATGCAGAGCACTAATTCCAAGTATGGGTCACCATACTTGGCCACATGTCACTTCACTTTCACTTTCACTGTCACTTAATCCTATTTTATTAACCAATTTACTGCTGACCTTCGGTGATCCAATTCAACCATACTAATAAGCACAAATTACACAAAATAAACTAACATTTCTTCTTTTTTCATTGCTGAAGAGTGTTGAACTTTCTTCTTCTGTGTATATTGTACAGACGTTAATTTACATTTCCTTCAGCCTGAGGCTTTTGGTGTGAAAGGGCTTTTATATTTGCCAAAAATATAACTTTTTATATTAAAAGCAAACAAGCAAGCCCAGCCCAGATTTAAAAAGTAATGCAAAAGTAACGTAACACATTACTTTCAATAAAAAGTAACTAAGTAACGTAATTAGTTACTTTTTTAGGAAGTAATGCAATATTGTAATGCATTACTTTTAAAAGTAACTTTCCCCAACACTGTTACAACGTATCAGAGTTCAGTTATGGGGCACAACTCAAACTGACTCTCAAAAGAGAGTTATTAATTATTGTAACCAGCAGTTCCCTAGAGACAAACCTAGCTAATCTTTTTTAAATAATAGTAGGAGTAGTATGCGGTCGGACTTCAGCAAAGCTGTGAACTAAGCACTGCTCTTACTATTCCGGTCATGTTTTACAAAGCATAAATAGTAAGAATAATATGGTAGAATGCTATTTGAATTCAACAATATTAATTTATGAAATAATACATTTTGAAGTCAGTGTCAGCCTATTAAAAACAGTTACTAAGCATTTAAAACGATAAAAAGTGTCTTAAAAACAGCATGCATATCCACAAAGTCCTACTCTAGCTTCAGACAGTAAGTGCGCTGCCTCCTTTATTAGCTACAAACACTCAATCCTAAAGTCTTATTGGAAAAACAGGCAATCATTGTTCATTTTCATGGCTTTTCATCATATTATACCTACGTTAGCAACATGGCCATGCCCTGAATGTTTTTAAATTATATTTCAGAATAATTCACGATTGCGTTCAGTCATATAGCCATTATGAATTATTCTGAAAAATAAAAAATACAATCCCGTCAGAAGTGCCCTCTGTCACTCAAATATCAGTGCGTGTGTGTGTGTGTGTGTCTGTGTGTGTGTGTGTGTGTGAGTGAGTG